ACTGCACCCCCCCCCCCCCCCCGGGCCCAAGCTGCCATGACAGTGCATTTATTTCTCCTTATTCTAGTTAGACAAGCTGCAGTGAATCTATATGCCCTTTTTTATACTTACACTCACCTGATATAACAACACACAACAACGCAACGGCAGGATGCACTGAAAGCATGTCGAATATACTTTTTCTACCAAGGCTCTCTGCTAACGGCAATGATGTAGAAAAACGTCGGTAAGATGAATCGGTTCTGTAATAAAGCCCTCTTCTGTATGGCAAAATGTAGGTAGGATCCCACGTCCAAATAAGTCATTCGAAATTCGCGGTTAAGATAGAAATCCGTGCATAAAATTATCTCTTGGACTTGCGCACTCTTTGCTTCTTCACTTTTCTGCTAGTCTTATTATTATTTTATATTTCTAAAACTAAAACACTAAAACTAAATGCCCAACGTTTCAGGTGTGTTCCAGGTAGTCTAAAAACTGCAGGTGGCAATAAAATCGAGTCCGGAGGATTTGAAAACTTTTTTGTTTTGGACGTCCCCATTAGTAAAGAGAGGGGTGCAGCTTCCACTACTTTGTGTAAAATTTGGCCGTCAAGTTTTGAATTCGTTTCTTTCAAACCAAACAGGTTATCGGGTCGGGAATGCCACTTTCTGTGCAGATCCTTGTAAAGCAGCCACATAACCAAATAAATGCATTTGTGAGCTTGGTTAAAAAAATAAATGAAATAAGCCATTATTAGTCGCCATTTCGTTCTACAAGGTCACGTGACTACTGTGACAGCTGACACACCACAGAAGACAGCTCTAGCTCGGTATCAATATGGCCGTGGTTTCAAACTTGTTTGTGATTAGTTTTGCTGTGATTCAAGGTATGCATTTTACTTTTAAATATCGTGTTACGTCTTTTGCCGATATGATGTTTGGTATCATGTTCCAAAATCAACTGAATTTGTTTCTCAAGTAGGAAACCAATGCCGAAGATGATCGTTGCATTTTCGCAAGGGGGCGGTTTCTACTCATGACCAGCGTAACGAACATTTCTCTTATTGTCCTGCTTCACTGATGCAATTATGAAGGGAAAGTACATAAATGCTTTATCTCTATTTTTTAACGAACTGGGCGATAGACTAGTGCAAACATATCGAAGACCCAGCTTGTTATAAGAGACACATCTATGATTTTAGAAAGAAACATAATAAGGGTAGCCCATAATTAAAAGTACAGTTAGTTGGTCATCCCAATATTTTATAACTGCTGTCATCATTTTCGTCAGATTAAGTGCTATGAATATTTTGAACCCGAAACCTGTTGGAAGCAAAGGTAACTTAACATTTTTAAGATAAAGTTTATTTGTAATTAAACGTTATTGTAGAGGTAAAAGGCGTATATATAAAACCATAGCCCTTGCTTGTAATTATCAATATTACTCCTTCAACACAGTGGCAGCAGAGACCTGCCTGCAGGTCACTGAAGACAATGGCGCACGATATCTTCGCTGCTTCGCCACTTTTGACGCCAAGGTCACGTGGGTGACGGCCAACGCCACGTGCTCTCGCTTTGGTTGGTCCCTCGTGCAGGTTGATACCCAACAAGTACAAGTTCATGTCCAGAGATTGCTAGGTTATTTATTTATTTATTTATTTATTTATTTATTTATTTGTCACAGATTCACGGAGTAAATAAATATGATAGTATATAAGCATTTTCAATGCAGTTTCATAAAATTAACTGTTGAAAAAAACATCGAGTATCACGCATGCTATCACGACGTAATCAAAGAGAATCGTACGTGCCTTTTGTAGACATCTCCTTAACTTTGCTTTTGACATTATCTTAGGGAATCGTGGTTTTGAAGCAACTTGGCTTGGCGCCTATAGCGAAAGTTACCAACTTCATGGTGGGGAATCTCTCTGGAAGTGGCTAAGTGGTTCGTATGTTAAATTTATACTGCCAAAAATAGGAATTTTAGTTGCGCCAAATTTAAAATTAAAAGAATAAAAAATAAAATGCTCCGATGGAATTAATCTAAGAAGTCTGTTGATAACTTACAAGATTAAACGTTTCACTATCTACACTGAAAATTTAAGCTATGCCTAAAATGATTTGCTTAGGTAAAGATTTAATGTTAGTGTAGAGAGTGAAAGGTTCAATCTTATAATGTTAGATATAAATAACTAGCATAGCAACAACATTTTTGATATGGTAAGTTACAACTAAAATGGTGTGAATTTAACCTGATGTGATCGTGATTTGTGTTTCAGGTACGCCCGTGGAAGACACGTATAATGACTGGGCGGAGGGAGAACCCTCAGCGTGGTGGCCTTACTACCTGGGGGAAAGAGAATGTGGCTTTATGCAGGCAGAGCGGGGGTGGCGCTGGGGAGCGTCCCCTTGTGATTCCGAGGAGAACGCGGCCTTCCCGTATATTTGTCAATTTGGTAAGTTCATTTTTGAAATTACTGGGAATGTGGAAATGTATGTGTGAGAACGATATTTGTTTCTAGAGTTTTAAACTGCATAATAATTTTCAAATCAGAGGTGCAATGGGGGAGGGGGGTGTCATGATATGCGGAGAACGAGGCGATGCGTAAAGATGGTAATCTGGAGCACGTGGAGAAATATTATTTATTTTTAAATACCTTTTCGAGATTGCAACTGGTATTTTGTTTGCATTGAAGTCTGTTGTAATACCAAACAGCAATGATAATAACGACAATATTCTTCATTTATAATCTCAGTCAAGTATGTCGAGAATTCTGCACCTTTGAAGACCCATTGTCCCGCATCAACAAAAGATTGTTCTTTTTTTCACATGTTGCATTTTACAGTAGATTCTCTGAGAGTATCCCATTTGTCAACAGAGATCTATCTGATAGTTAACTGAATGTTGCTCTTTAAGGTATCGAACTATCAAATGGTACGGAGACTTCTGTCGTTCCTGCGCCCGTTTCTTCAACGAACAATCCCAAAACGACAGCAGTGGCCGACATTGGGACAACTACGGCACCAACCAGTGTAACATCTACCATTGTGCTTCCAGTCACAGCCTCCACGATAAAGCCAACTACATCGGCAGCAACGTCAACATCATCAGTGACAACAGTGCCAGCTACAACAACTACAACTACTATCCAAAATACAACAAATGGACACAATAACAGTAGTGCAGGACCAAAAACATCCACATCACCATTTGGTACCAGTACGACGACGCCTAGCCAGAATCTCCTGAATATAACCGTAACAGCTAACACAACGACAGGCATAAGTACAACCGCTGCACCTTTTGTCAACTTGACTTCACGAGTTACTGAGACGTCAGCACATGTTCCCATGACAACGGTCCCCGTTGCCGTGACAACAGCCACTGATGGTAACGTAACTGCTAGTCCTAATATAAATACAACACCTGTTGGTACAACTTCCACAAAAACGCCCTCAACTGGTGCCATCTCAACAACAATTGGTACCATGACAACGGCTTTACACGTGCCAATTACAACAACTGGAAAAAATATGACAACAGCAGGGACAAATATGACAACACCAAGTACTAGAGCTGCGTTACAAAGTTCCACAATGCCCAGTATCAATGTTACAACGACAGAAACAACAGTCTTTACCAACACCACAGCATCTGGCACAAGTATTACCCCACCAACGGCAACAACAGCATCTGGTACAAGTATTACCTTACCAACAACAACACCATCTGGTAAAAGTATTACCTTACCAACAACAACAGCATCTGGTACAAACATTACCTCACCAACGGCAACAACAGCATCTGGTACAAATATGACCTCACCAACGGCAACAACAGCGTCTGGTACAAATATTACCTCACCCACGGCAACAACAGTATCTGGTACAAATAATACCTCACCACTGGCAACAACAGCATCTGGTACAAGTATCACCTTACCAACGGCAACAACAGTATCTGGTGCAAGTATTACCTCAGCAACGGCAACAACAGTGTCTGGTACAAGTATTACCTTACCAACGGCAACAACAGTATCTGGTACAAGTATTACCTCACCAACGGCAACAACAGTATCTGGTACAGGCATTACCTCACCAACGGCAACAACAGTATCTGGTACAAGTATTACCTCACCAACGGCAACAACAGTATCTGGTACAGGTATTACCTCACCGACGTCAACAACAATGACTTCAAATCATACATTACCCGCCAACCTCACCGCTGTCCCCACGAAAACAAATGGCACAACAGCAGCGCCATCCACCACAACGCCTTTTAGTTACAATAGTAAAACACCCATCATCAATAATTCAACACTGCTTACCACTGTCTTTGTAACAAATGTTACATCAACGGCACCAATAACTACAGCATCTCTGCAAAATGTAACGAACACCTCAGCGACAGTGACGGCGACAGTAAATACATCAAATAGTGAAACTTCAACAAATTCTTTCTCTACCGGAAGTAACGAGCCGCTTGTTATAACGAGCACTTTGGAAACGCCTTCCACAGGTACAATATAGTTCATTCATTTCAAATTTGATCGAAATTTTATAGTTCATTTTAAAACATTTTGATATATATTATTAATAATGGGAATTGAGCAAAACATGACTAACAAATACATCACCATATAATGCCTTTTTGAAATGTGGTATCGTTTTAGAAATTTGCCAATTCAGTTGGTTTTTTTATACATTCGGTTTCAAGATGATTGTCGGTTTATGTCAACATTCTCCATTCATTCAGTATCTATATCGATGCAGAATATGGACATTTTTTCCTATGTAATTATATGCCTTTTTTATTATTTTAATAATTATAATAATTTTCAAATTTGAACATGGACAAAATTATAAAATTACGTCATCACGTAATTTTGTCCACGATTTCACAAACTGGCAAATATAAAAACGTGTTTGTTTTAATTGCAGGCGGCAGTACGGCAGCGCCATCTAGTGGCGGGAACTCTGGGACACCTAGTGGCGTCACAGAGCAGACAGCAGTTGTGGCCTCTGTCGTTGGTGTAATCGTGGTGATTGTTCTGATAGCAGTGGCACTGTTTATCAGAAAGCGAAGGTGATAAAACGTGATAATTTGTTCCTCTTATTAGGGTGCTTTCCCAGAGATTTAGATCGATCTAGAGATTAAGATTTAGATCGACCTAACTCCCTGGGGGTTCACGCTAAATTGCAGTCAGCCGAGCGGGCACCATAGTTAATTACCCCCTTACAGCTTTTAGTAGGCGGGACAGACGCTTAAGCCGGCCAAGCTGACAGTAATCTAGTGAGACTCCCCACAGGGATAGATCGATCTAAAAATCTATGGAAATGGGGTGTTAAGTTATTGTTGCTTGAATATGTATTTTGGAATATTGAAACGCAAAAGTATAGTAATTTTGAACTTCATACGACATCTACAGCATGACGGACAAAAAATTCTAAAAGCTTTCTTTCGTCTAAGTCTAAAAGGGCTGTTCAAACTTTTGAATTTTAAACAGTAAACCCGAGACGTTTTACGTTTACGCATATTTTATAATTTTCCATGAGTATTGCCAATAATACATGTAAGAAGGTAATTTTAGTTGGCAGTCTAGAATTTGAGTACGAAATTGGTAAGTTTAGAACATAAGTTTTAACTTTTTTTAGGTTTTTGGGAGAACTTGGAGCCCAGTTATGAAAATCCATTACTATTATTATTATTATTATTATTATTCACAGGAAGAATCGAAGTTATACCCACCTTACTGAGGTCTGTTCTATGGAGATCGTGGCGACACCTCCCGGGGGTGTGACAAGATACGGGAGCGCGGGAACTGTGGACCAAAGACAATCTCTAGCATGCTAAAGGAAAGACTGCCATAGACACCATCCCCCATATACGTATACACCATCGATTAACGTATATCGATGCAACTTTTCGGGGACTCTCGCTGAGTGCAATCAGCTTAACTAAATGACACGTCCCCTCAGACTCCTCTTGTTTCCAACGAACTCGTATAACCACCATTTTTTTTTTTTTTTTTTTGGTGTTCTACTCAACGCCAGATGGAGGCGTGTCACAGTACGCTGAATTTGATCGATCTACGTATACCGATGGAATTTTTAGGAATGGGGCCATAGGCCACAGAAATGTCCTATAAGTAGGCAATACACATATCACATACATGTCTGAACAGGGGCGGATTCAGAGCTATTTACTGACAGTCTTTCACATTATCTTTGTTGATTCATCCTCCAATTTTGACCGTCTTTCAAGGGCGGATCCAGAGATATTTTCTGACAGTCTTCCAAATTATCTTTGTTGATTCATCCTCCAATTTTGACCGTCTTCCAACAGAAAAAAATTAGATACCCCTCAATGTAAACTTGAAAATCTGACCGTTTTCCGGAAGACCCAGAAGACGGCCTAAATCTGCCCCTGTCATGTACATTACACGTAGGACGCCACGGCCAATGACAACTGTTATGTTTATAGTAAGGAGTCGTTGATATTTCATCCAACCCATAAACAACATGGTGAGGGACATTTTCCGTATTGCCCTGCTTAACTGCACGCCTAATGTGATCACACTTTCGCAAATTTGTGAGGAAAAAAAGGGATAGAAATGATTTAAACAAACAAGAAGTTGAACCTCAAATTAATTTTACTGCTGCCCTGGGACAGATAATGAAGTGTCCCGTTACTTGAAGAACGTGATATGTGCATTGCTTGCGCTTGTTGAACATGTGATATCTGTGTTTAATATTTATAAAAAAAATATTAGAAAACCAAAATGTAAAAAAATACAATTTATTTATATATAATGTGATATTAGTATTGCTTCCACTTTTAGAAGTCGAGCAATTCTTTAAATTTGCAATCATTTTAAGTATATGTATAATAATTCCATTTTATAATATGTGTCATCATCTTCATCATACGTTACGTTTTGAGCCCACAAGTGCATGTAGGAACTAGCTCACATTTCTCAGCTCAAACTTCTATGTATGATCTATTTCATAATAATATTCATACCCCAAGGCAAGACGAGCTATGCTATAAACTTATATATTTATTTCACTCATTATCTATTCATTCAAATTAGGTTCATATATTTTCGCTCAGTTCATTAGACTCTTGAGAACATTTCGCAGATGGTATCTTGAATTGTACATAGGAAGATAATGTAAATAGTGTACAGTATTGAAAATAATATCCATTTGTTATTATATTATTGTTAAATTGAACAGACTTAATCGTAGTTAATCAAATGCAGTATACAGGACTAAAACAAAATACATATATTGGAAACGTGCATCAATATGAAATAGTCTATGTAATTTATTAAAATGGTGAATTAATTTTTTTTCTAAGTGTCATGAATATTTTACTGCACAGTAATAGTGCACTGTTAGATGTTTGGAACATGGTCAATCACAATGTCAATTGCAATAAAAGTTTCATGTCATAAAGTGTTATTATCATACTTGGAACTTTTCAAACCAATACCCTGATGAAGCTGGACAAGAAGTACAGGAAATATTGACTGGGAAGGTATCAGTTTATTACTAAAGATGCACTTTGACAGACTATGGAGTGCTACAAACAGATGTGTAAAAGTTAATGGTAACTTAGTTTGTATTATTATTTATTTCATTCAAAAACATGATTGCATATTGCACCTATTTACAACAGAACTACTATTGCATCTTCAAAACCTGCTTCTCACTCTGGTTGAAGTTAGTTGAATTACCTGTTAATAATAATCCAGTTTCTGAAATTGGCCAATTTGTTGGATTCTTGATACAACAACATGAAAATCACGGTGATAAGTGTATATTTTCCATTAACAAACAGATTTAGATTTAGGTACAAAAAAGAGGCAGGTATTAAATATTTACAATTTAGTTTTCTCGACGAGGAGAAAACTCCACAAACAAATATTACAAACGAGTAAAATAGAGCTTCATATAGCACCTTCCACCTGTCAGAAGTGACAATCTTAACTGAAAAAAGCAACCACCACAGATGAACTTAAATAATAATTATTATTATTTAGCACCTTAAAACAACGCGTTTTACATTCATAATATAAGAATTTCGTCAATTTTAGACCAACCCACACACTGAGCTATAGGCTGAGCTACCCAGCTTACTCATGGCATTGGTGTGTATAGGCTTCAGATAAAGTCCATGATTATAACAGTGAACACAAAATCAAATAAAGATAATAAATGATGATTATCCCATTAACTTCTTTAAATGAAATTACCCCATACAAACTATTGCCACTTTCATTTACACATAAAAATGTCAGGAAATGTTCATCCCTATCAAAAAAACACAGTCATGACAACAGCTATCATACTACTTAAGTTAATAGACAACTTGATTCCAGTGAAGATTGGTCAGATCTTGGTATTTCCAAGGGCACTCGTCAAATTTTCAACTGATACCTCACTCCATTTGCAAGCATCGACTTCGGGGGTGGGGGGGGGCTACAGACTTCATGACAACACACTTTCTCACACTTTTCATTTCGCGATTGATTTGTGCCAGAAACGTTATGTTGTGAGAATGGAACAACTTTCTTTAAGCCCTTATTTTAACTCTATTGAAACCCCCTCCCCCCCAATATGTGAAGCAAGTTATAGTATCCAGGAAGGAAAACTGATTTTTCCATTAGTCCTTTTCGGTTTTTTTCCCTGCGAAGGAAAAGTGGATATTTGCAAACAGCCTATCCATCTTTCAGCCTATTGAGTTTGTTTTGCGTAATATTGTCCCATTCTTTCCGAAAAACTTAACGCAGCTGAGCCATTCAAGAGCATAACTTCTCGACAGCCTCAGCCAGTGTAAGTAAAAGTTTTGCACCTATTTGCATTCATATAATATTACATAAATAAGCGGTCAATTCTGGTTTCCTCTGGTACCCTTAATTTCAATTATTATTGTACTTATGTAATTTCTTAAAGAGCAGAGTGTTTTGGGCTATGAGAAATAACACATTCAGCCTCTGGAGGAGAGGGGGGTGGGTTTTGACGAAAGGTGGGGGAGGAGGGATCACAAGCATCCACAATGGAATTCTGCACTGGAGTCTCTGACTTGGTCTATAGAGCAGCCTGCACACAGGGTGTGGTACCACTTATCACAGTCATCACACTGCACCTGGAATAGAATACTTTAAGGTAAACAACTATCAAATATTCTGACCTCCCCCCTACCTACCATTAAAATAATATTATCATTTTCTTTTACTTACGACAATGTGTTCAGAGACAAACCAAACTAGCTTTTCTGACTTTTTATATGTTGTTACTAAGTTATACAATGTCATTAAAGGTAATGATTATAATTTGAATTCATTTTGTAAATTACCATAAATCTTGAACTTTGAACTGACATTTGCCACTGTTGAATAATATAAGCAATTTACATGGCTGATTCACTTTAATTCTAATAAGCAACTTCCACAAAAAATTACCAAAAAAACCAATGAGATAATTTTTTATACTATTTTATTGCAAATAATGTAAAAGTATCTTAAGCAAGGGATTCATATTGCAACCATCCCAACCCCACTCCAATAACAGCCCAAACATTTAGAATTAACCTGGTTATTTAGTATATAATCTCTTGTAAGGTAACTTACCCAGTCTACTTTTAGTTCACTTACCTAGTTCACTTTAAGGTCACTTACCCAGTCCACTTTAAGGTCACTTACCCAGCCCAGTTTAGGTCACTTACCCAGTCCACTTTAAGGTCACTTACCCAATCCCCTTTTAGGTCACATAACCAGTCCACTTTAGGTCACTTACCCAGTCCACTTTAAGGTCACTTACCCAGTCAACTTTAAGGTCACTTACCCAGTTCAGTTTAAGATCACTTACCCAGTCTACTTTACTCCCTGTGGGTTTCACACAGTCATAAGAAGCACAGGTGTCTTCATCATAGTGCCAGTACCAATCTTCAGACTTCTTCCTTTTTCTATTACCAGCCGTATGTTTTCCTAGAAAATATAAGACATGCCACTATTATTCACCCATTTCAACTTCTTGAAATGAAATCGCGATATGCAAGGGATAAAGTGGGATAATGCCATCCACATTTGCCAAAAGTCTCTTTTGGATAAAAAGAAAATGAGTAAGAAAGATAACTGAGAAATTCTTAATGTTCTGACACAAATTTCTACTTTTAACCTTTGTAACCTCTGTGCCAAATACATTTATTGTGGGTCCACTTATATAGGTCCTCACTGTGGTCATCTGGCTGTTACCACATACAAGTACAAAAATAAAAAAAATTTTTTTAAGAGACTGCAGGGTTAAAACATCAGAAAACGTATGTCAATGCATGGTTTATCACCTAATTTTTATCATCATTATATATAAATCTAAAAAACAATGAAAAGCATTTCACCATGTTCTATCATAGCTAAACTGGATAAGATCAGGGGGGAAATTTATGCTTGTTGTTCAACTAACCCCTGTTTCCAAGTTTTCTCCCTCTCTTTCCATATCGTTTGCTGGACATTTCCTTGACATGTACAGTACCATTATCATCAACATCATCATCATTATCATGGCTGACCACATGACTTTTTGCATTGTCATGCTGATGGTTAATGTCACCAGTATTGCTACTGTCAATGACAGCATTGTCACCTAAATGTTTACTGTCACCAGTTATGATACTGTGACTAACAGCATTGTCAAGTTGATGGGTACTGTCACTTGAATCGATGTGGATTGCGACATCATCACCATCGTCCTGCGATTCAGCAAAGATGTCCTCCATGCTGCAGGCATCGAAGCTCTGCGCTCTTCTCACTGCTTCCTGAAACACAGTGTTGTCCTCATCTGTACTGTGACCTTGACCCTCAAGGTCAGCAGGGTGTTCTTTTAGGTCCAGACTTTCACCATGACCTGTCAAATCTGGGTCAGGTCGATCTCGGTCCCCAGTTTTGGTGGCACTGATCCCATTCACGAAAAACATCATTTGATCTCTACTGGTCAGGATCTGCTGGTCAGTTTTAGCCTCATTAGAGCTGTGGTCACTTCTACTGATTTGATTGTCATTCACAAACAGATGGAAATCCTGTGGTGATAGGTGCTCCAGGACTAAATCTTGACTGTCAGTTTTGTGTCCCATATTAGGTATGCTAGACATCTTATCATCTTTTGACTTGTCTTGTCCCTGACATAGCATTTTATCATTTTTCAAGTCTTTGTGTATCACCACAGTGCTACCAAGCTTGGATGATTCTTCGGAAGTAACTGACTGCCCAGCTTGACATTTATTTGTACTGTGATTACAATGATCATATATGTTGAACTGTTGGTATTCTAAGAGGTCTTGTTCTATTTCTGGTGTCACTTCCCTTTTTGTGTCTTTATCAAGATGGTTCAGGCCCATTTTATTTTCACAAACTGTGTATATAGTATTGACACTGTCAGTGAGCTGCAAGGATTCTCTCACACTCTTTGCAGCAGTTTCAGAAGAGCATCTGCGACTATTGTCTTTAGGAAGAGTATTGGGGTCCATGTCAGAAAGCACCGTCCTCTCGTTGTCATCTTCATGTACTGAATCATCCCTAGACACATTATTTGTTCCCTCAGTGCCTCCTTCTTTTGGCATAATCTCAAACTGAAACATAAGAGATAATATGCACTGTTCATATTGCTGTTGCTCTTTGCCTTTTTTTCTTATAAAATTTGTTACAAAAACTGATTCTCTTTTCTTCAATTTAAAATCACTCTTATAAAGTATTACAAACAAAAATGTCATTCTGAATTAATTTCTCTTCAAATCAGTAGACAATCATCCTGCTTACCTTATAAATGAACTCTGAGTCTTCCTGTGGCTCGTATTGGCCTGGTTTGATCTGTGCTGCCATCAAATGGCCAAATGCTATAACATCCCCCAGGTTCAGCTTATAGCAACCTTCTATCTGGAATGTTTTTCATAACAGCAACAAATTAGTATTTTTTCATTAAAAAAGAAAAATAAATAGTACTTTGAAACATTTATGTTTTGTCAACTCAAATGCTGAAATATTTTGCCAAAGTCTTAATAAGAACACTAACAGTTCATCGAAAAAAGAAAAAAATCAATTGTGAGTAATGATAAAACAATTAGTGTATAAAGAAGTTTAACATTGTTTACATACAGAACATTCAAGGATGACATCATACTTATGTATTTTGGCTTAGCCAAATGTCTAATATGCCAGTAAAGCACCAAAAATTTAGAGAAATATGAATACATTTTTCAAATTTCCTCTGACTGACAGTGACCATATTCCTGTTGTATCCATTAAGAAGAATGTTGATAATGGTAACTGAAGACCCCCTCTGACAGGCTATGAAACACGGGATGCTCTCCCTTACCCTAATATCATTGACATAGGTCCCATTCAGGCTGCTGTCAGTGAGGTAGAAATTGTTTTGCACCCTGTCAATCATAGCATGTCTCCGTGATATCAGGTTTGGGTGCAGCTTAGAGTCCAGGTAAAAGTCTTGTCTGCTTGGTTGGCGCCCCAGAATGATATGATCTTCTTGTAGCCTGTGGAAATAGCAATTTTAGTTTCGATAGATCACTAGCTGAGAGTCTGTCAAGACTATACTATTAACTTGTTTTTTTTTCCCAGACATAACAAAAAATTTACACATAAATAAATAAATAAACAAAGTTATGCAATAACAGACAATTAACTTTTTCAATTTTACATGCCCAGTAAATTTCTTTGTTACATTTTATCTATTGTATCGGTTCTGTGATTGTTCATACACGTGCGTGTATTTGCGTGTGTGTGTGTGTGTGTGTGTGTGAGAGAGAGAGAGAGAGAGAGAGAGAGAGAGAGAGAGAGAGAGAGAGAGAGAGAGAGAGATTAAATGAATCTAAGCAAGAATAAGGCTAAGACCTGATAACGGGTTTGACTCCTGGGGCAGAGGGCGGCGTTCCTATACGCCGTATCTGATAGCTAACGTCTTCGTTTGTCGCCATAATTCAAGAATTTTCTGGCCTTAAAATAGAGAACTACTCTATCATATTTACCGCGAAGTCCTATTTGTCGCACTTAAGCGAGAATTTGCGTGAGCATTGACAAATATCTCTCTCATGTATAATTTAGTCCAAAGTCATACATTTTTCATGTTAATATCGAATGGAATTGTATATGTTGTACCCAAATGGTGCAATATCAAGTAAAATAGAATATTTTGATATGGTTTTAAAAGTTTATCACCCATAGTGCACCGCAATATTTTGCTAATGGCCGCTTCCGGTGACAGGCTTTCTCAGCGAAGCGAAGTTTCTGTGGACGTGAGAGAAGCAAAGGGGGAAACGACACCGATCAAGAACGCAGAAGTGAGAATGTCATCCACAGACCTCTTCATGAACGCAGATGAAGTTAATCCCATCAAAAACCGTTATCCACACTGCGTTGTTTGGACCCCCATACCACTGCTAACGTAAGTGACTGTTTAACCGCAGAAGAGGGGGGAGTGGGGGGGGGGGAGTAGTATTCTTTAGAAAAAAATGTCGATAAATAACCCCACTACCTCAAGATTATTGAACTTTTTGTGAAACATCATAGAGTTGTGACAAATAAAAAAACTCGGTGTTCAAATGAAATATAGCTAGTACGGTATCACTCAGCTGACATATTTTCAAGAGATCTTTAAGATGTATTCTCACTTCTCTTACTGTGGATTGTGTATTACTTTGTGACCAATCCACAATGTCTCTGCAACAATGTGCTGTCTGCTCAAACCATCCTAATACCTGAAAAGAAAGAAGAAACGTTTAAGATAACATTTAAAAATGTGGAAAAATAGCGTGCAACCAAACCCAAGGGGTTATCTTTGAATTCTTTAAATGTGTTTCACAGCAAAGCATATGGGAACACATTCAATTAACACAAAAAAGATCCCTTTTTTAATATACCCTTAAATATCTGCTCTTATAAATTTTTATAACTTTCTCTGTTACTGTGTCCAGCCAGACTAAGGGCGCATTCAGATGCACACATCACACTAGCTGGGTCGATCCAACTCTGCGGAAGATTCTTGCTGATGCTAGTAAAACCCAGCTAGAAAAATGTGTGGATCTGAATGCAGTCTAAACTGCTAGTGGCTCATACACAAACCTCCTTAAAATATGTTTTTCTAAAGAAAAGTATTTAAGATATTTTAATAGTTGTATATATTTCTTAGTCTTGTTTTGACAGTGAAGAAAATTAACATTATTTGATAATTATAAATGATAGTAAAAATAACATAATAACAACAGATCACTTTCAGTTGGCTTCGTTTGATCATTTCAGATGGCTGTTTCCTTTCATTGGTCACATGGGCATTGCCACAACAGCTGGAGTAATTAGAGATTTCGCAGGACCATATTATGTTTCAGTAAGTAATGGCATAGTATTTATTCCTGTCGTTTCACAATACACAAATATGGACATAACTTGGTTGGAAAGAAGAGTAAAGGAAGTGAATGGAAGGAAATAAATTGATATAAATAATTTATATATTTATTTTTTATTTACTGTTTAATTTCAAACAAATTAATTTACTGTACTGAAAGATTTAAGCTCAGTATATTATTATAAAATATAGATATTGAAAGTAATTATGTATGTTGTTACTTCTTGAAAAGGAAATCATTATTTTAGAATTTGCTTCTTTATGGTTTGCAATGTTTTCATTAATCTTTATATTGGTATTTTAGGAAGATTGTATGGGATTTGGAAACCCAACAAAGTGAGTTGTTTTCTATTTAAATAATTGTTACATCTTTAAAGGGATAATAACTCTTTGTTTTGGCCAAAAAATGAATTTTCCTGGAGTAAAGAACAATTTTCCCATACTTACCAATGGTGAATGAATCCATTTTTACATTCAAAATTAGTCCCTGTTTTTTTTTTTTTTTTTTTTTCTAAAATGTTTTTTTTTTTTGTTATAATCTCTTAAGAGATTTGAACAGAGTATAGCCATCAGTGGAGGTCACGTGGTCTAAAGACAAGCTCAGATATCAGAATAATAGCTATAACTGCCGTTTTTGTGGTAAAACAGAATATATTATATTTCTATGAGTCATTCACAATGTTTTTATTGTGAAATATAGATCTCATACGAAGAGTGATTATCCCTTTAATTGGTGCTCAAATGTTCATGTTGTATATAGTAATATACAGAAGTTGAATGTATTGTTTTGTTGAAAATTCAGATTTTTTAAGTCAATGAAACCATTGATTTTTTTTTTCTTAAGTTTATATTATTTTATTTTAATTTATTTTATTTCACTGTATTGCCCATTGTGTTAAAATGCACGCATTGGTGTAGAAAAAACATAATTTAGAACAGATTGCAATACAGACAACACATTTTGCTGGAGAAGACATTGTGTTAGAGAAGACAGCTGTCACATTCTGATTGTGTTTCAGGTATTGGCAGCTATCATTGGACAATGTTCACACAGGGAAGGAGGCATATGACAGAGCAGTATATGAGGCATCAGAAGAATATAAAAAACACATGGTAAGCAGTACTGTATAGAAATAAAACTTTTAGCTCATCAGGCATCAAATAGAAATGGAAAATACAAGGTAATCAGTATAAAATTAAAGTATTTCCATGCATGAGCCAGGGCCGTAGCCTCCGGGGGGGCAGGGGGGGCAGCTGCCCCCCCTGGAATTTGGAATTTTACACACCACACCCACCCCCCTCGGTAGCTTCGCCCCTTTGTGTCCGCTTACTGCCCCCCCTGGCATTTTGCTCAGGCTACGGCCCTGTGAGCCATTGAAGAAATATATAAAAACACATGGTAAGCAGTATTAGGATTTTTAGCTTTTCAGTGTCTCTGCCAATCATAAGCAAAAAATTTGTGATTTTTTCTCCCTTGAACAATTTTGGTAAAGCAAAATCTGAACATGGGATAATGTTCTAGTTTTCTTCAAATTAAGTTTCACAAATGCTGATAAAGGAAAAAATTGTAACTCCTTTCAGTGTGGGATGGCTAAAAAACATTTGGAGCATTACGTAACCCATTTTGTTCAAATATAGGTATACTTGTTTTAATTTCATAAAATATTTTGTTAACTTCCTTTCTTTCAGCACAACTTATTTTGTGATAATTGTCACTCCCATGTTGCCCTGGCAATGAACACCATGCAGTATGACAAGAAGACATCCTGGAATATGTTTTCTCTGTGTTTTCTGATGCTGATTCACGGGAAATATGTGAAGTAAGTACAAAATGGAAGTTTGCTTTGGCAGTGAGTTAGATGTGACACTGTTTTTTTGATTTGTTAGATATGAAAAGATGTTTTGTTTGTTTTTTGTTTGTGTGTTTTTAAGTGTTATAAATGTCAAGAAATAGAAATGGATTACATTTTTTCTCAGTGTTTAGTTTATTTACCTACTCTCAAAACCATTATTCATATTTGTTTAAATGAAAGTAATGAAAATATTGTTTAGGAATATATTAATTAAATTTGGCTGTTTCCTTTAAGATATTTCGATGTCTTCAACAGTACTGTGACAGTATGGGAACACATGAGTTGTTGGTAGTCATTTTCAAATTCTTTCATTCCTCTCGTTTTAGTTGCTGTTCATTCATCAAAACGTGGCTTCCATTCTTCATTCTGGTTGGAATCATAGTCACAGCTGTTTTGATCACCAAGCTAACGTGATGAAAACTCCAAGAATGTGACATTTAGAATATTCAAAGACAGTTTAAGTTAGAAACTGAATCGTTCCTAAAGATTCTGAGTGGGTTTTTGCCTATGAGGCATGGCAATTCAACCCTTCATCATAGGGTTTTTATCACATGAATAACTTGTTAATGTGAGCTTCATGAGTTAGGATGTCATCTTGATGGGGAGAATTGACACGCCCTGGTGACAGTTAAGGCATGAGACAAGAGATAATGAAAAACCCATTTGAAATCAATTGCATATGTAGACAGAAAAAAAAGCAAATAATTTCCAAAAGAGATTAATTGTGTTTTTATCTAAAAATCATGTGAACAAGGCCTTGGAACAAGGAGCCAAAATGTCACACCTTATTTGTCAAGTTCTATCTCTTTATAATTGATTTATTTTTTCTTCCGCGTTGTAACTCGAGAGACAGTGGAGAACCTAGTTCAACAATTTTTTAGACAAATTCATCATTACTGGGGACACAGAGGTCAGGGTCACTTTCCCACTTCCAAAGGTGAGGAAAAAAGGATTATCTCTCATTCTGACTGAGACCCGCAGTAGTACCTCAAATTGTCTAAATTAATTTAGAAATGAGAGAATAGACTAAAGAATTAAAATTGTGTTAGGC